GGATCTGTGTGAAGAAGCCATGGGCAATTAGAGTGGTTCAATGGGCAATGTGGGGAGCGTTTTGAAAGCCCCCACTGAGTCAGGGTCTGTCTATCAGAAGCCATTAATGTGCTAGTTATTGAGTCCCTCCTATAGACTAGGCATTGTGACTGACAAAGTAGGAAATAAGGACACAATGAAGGGTTTCTAAACAAGAAAGAAATAATGTCTCTGAGGAAGATGATTCTAGCAGCTGTGAGCAGGACGTCCTGGCAATCAGTTGAGCCTCTGTCGTTGAGCCCACTCTGTGCTGGTCACCTTTGCAGGCCATCTCATTCATCTTTACAGCCTGTGGTAAATCATCTTTGTTTTATAAATGAAGAAATTGATGTTTACAGAGATTAAGTAACTTGACAGTGGTCATAAAACTTGTAAGTGAAAAAGCTGGGGTCTGAAACCAGGCAACATCAAAGCCTGTGCTTTTCCCATTATAACACTCTGCCTCCCCAGTGAAGGAAAAGGAAGTCAAAATATGCCTGAGAAGGACGAGCTTGGGGTACATGACTACCTCATGACAGCAGCCGGGAACTGAGAAAGGAGACATTTCTGTAGAGGAAGACTTCTGGGGTTCGTTTTTGTTTTGCTTATGAATTGTCCCAATTTTAAACATATGTATGCAGGTGGGATGATATCCAAGTGGGAATATCCTATGGACAGCTGGTAATCTATAGGGAGAGGGGATGGGGACAGGGAGGAACACATGCTGAGAAGTCATCTGCAGACAGGTGGCAGGTATCTGAAATGGAAGAACGGACAAGCTCCGTTGTGGGGTAAGTGTGCTGGAGTAAAACACAAGGGGGACAGGGCTGAAGGTCTTCTGCTGTCTGACAAGCTAATGATAGTGGGGCAGGGAAAAAGAAGAGCAGGTCTCACCTACGTGAACAGATGGTCACATGCACACATGGCCTCTCTGGGTGTAGGTGCTTTCCAGTGCTAGCTGAGATAATCCTCCTTCTGTTCAGTTCTTAAAACTTATTCATTTTTCAAGGTGCAACTCAAATTTCCACAACTCCTGTGGGAACTTAAACTTTTCATCTCTGTAACTCTCGTATGGTTAGCATTATGCTTGGCATGTAATAGGCGCTAAGTGGATATCTGTTGAGCTGAAATGAACAATTAACGAGAGGAAATCTATTTGGGGATGATAATTATTCTTTCTGAGTCATATCTTCTTCATTTGTGAGATGGAATAATTATTGTTAGGATTAAACGAGATATGTAGGTAAGGCATTTAGTACAGTGCCAGGAATATGGTTGTTCATTAACTGGTCATTATTATTAGCTGGCAGCAACCATGGAAGTGGTATACATAATAGGAGCCTAGGGTGAAGAATTTCAGGAAAATAGGAATGCTCAACGTTTCTAAGGCCCTTTGTGTATCACAGTTGACACATTCTCTCTCTCTCTCTCTCTCACACACACACACACATACACACACACACGTGCATGCACATGTGCGCACCAATGGTGAGGGATGTTGTTAAGCAAAATATAAAACTCCTCTACTGATATCCTGCCCCCCCATCCCCCCGCCCCCGTAATATAAGGAGGAGATTCTTAGTAATCTAAATTTGGTCCTACAGCAAATAGTTGAAATGACTTTCATGGCTGGTTGCGTGATTCAAACATCAATATTGTTAGGAATTTTGATTCCAGCTAGATAACAGGCCCACCTGCATGTTTTAGTTTTTTATTAAATTCTCTAAGTAAAAGTGTGTCTGCCCCAGTTTGACGGCTACTTTGGGAGAGAAATATGGTACCCAAGATTCCTAGAATCGGCAAGTATCCCATTGTCCTGCCTATCACAGACAGAAATCACTACTCCCTCACACAAAACCCCCTCTGTGATAAAACAAAGCCGCCTGTGTGGCAGGCCTCCCCAAGAGAGAGAGAGAACTCTCTCTCTTCCATGAGACCTGAGGACGGATGAGGAGACAGAACAAAGACCTGGCATCTGCAGCACGACTGCGTGAAAAGGGCCCAGGATTTTCAATGATCAGACAGTTCACTTTCATCATAGCATCTCCCTCCCGGTCAGCAACTTTCTCCTCACCTTTGGGCCTGAGTGTGAACCCAAGGCCTTGAGTTTATCCACTAGAATGAGGACTCCAAGAAGCGAGCCTCCTATTGGGAGCTGTGGCCCAGCTCCCTTAGGACTCGGCTTCCCTGGAGGCCGGGCCCATGGGACCTTGCTGCCTGCCCCTCTTCTGCCCTTCGTTGTTCAGTCCTCTTGTCACAGAGAAGCCCAACCTCTTAGGCTCTGCTCTCCGCCCCTCACTCCCCTCCCCCACCCACACACCCACCCCTTTTCAGGGCATAAGGGACCTTTTCTATTTGCAGAGCCTAAAGAAGCTGGTTGCCAAGGTGACAGGAGCAAGAACAGCAGGGAGCTTGCCATGGGGGAGGGGTTTTGCCCCCAAACAGCTGTCAGTGCGAGCAGTCCCAGCTGGGACTAGAGCATTTGCCTGCTCTTCTAGGAAACAGCCCCCAGGAGAACACATTCCCCTCTGCTGTAGTCCCCCGCCCCCGCACCCCCAACGATGAGTCTCCACTGGTTACTTTCCCTGGGGGCAACCAGCCAGCCAGCTCAAAAAATGCTCCAATAACAAACAAAAAAATGTGGGTCCCCCCTATCCCTGCCACACACACACACATGCACGCTTGCTCTTACTGTTCAGTTCATTCATAGTCGGTTGGCTGGGCAGAAGGCCAGGAGTCACCTCTGCCTGGGAAGCTGTGGAGCCCAGGGCAGGTGCTGCTCCAGGACGCCCCACCTCAAGTCATAGGGGTTATTTCAGTCTATTTTTTTTTTTGTCCCAGAGGCCCTGAGAGGATCTGCAGCATCCTAAACTTCCCGCTGCCTTCCATTTGGGAGGGGGTGTGTGT